CACCAGGCTGGAGATGCACATGGTGCTGCTGACCCAGGAGGGCTCTGAGCATCCTGCTGCAGGAAGATACAGCTTCTTCCAGCGCTGCGACCAGCTCTTATCACCCACCCACAGCTGGCTGAAGGGAGGGGAGATATGGCAGATCCTGTGATGCAACCAGGGCCAGGAGCACTGAAGGAACACCCAAATTAAGTGTTGGATGAGGTCACACACCGACCGGCAGCTTCAGGGCATGGGAGTCAGTTGCCAAGAGGAGGAGAGGTGGAAGCTCCAGTGGTGTGGTCGGCCCCAGAGAGTTGAAGTTGCTGGACTCCCAGCTGTGTTCTCCAGGTCATCCAGCCCCTCTGGACTTTGATCTGCTCACTCAAACAAGCTGGAAATGCTGCACAAACCCAGTCCAGCCACAAACTGATGAGGAGGTCAGGGGGGTGGAGAGCAGGCTGAAGACCTTCAGACCCACCCAAAACCTCCTTTCCTGGAGTCAGCCCACAGGTAACTGCTGGCTGTCTAAAAAGTGCCTGAATGCCGTGACTTTCCCATCATTCCTTCTGCTTCTTTATCATCTTTAGGCCATCTCTTAGTCTTGCAGTTTCCACTTTCAACAGGGAATCTTGCCTCCCCTCCTGTTGATTTTGCTGGTATCCAGGATGGAGAGAGAAGAGAGGGAGACCCTGGCCAATGAGTTGGAGGAGATGAGTGGTAGAGGTGAGTTTTCAGAAGGGAAGATGATGGGGAACTGTCCTCCATTGAGGAGAAAAATGCATGCTGCCTCTGCTGTGGAAGAGCTATTTAGGGCCAAAGCACCTGGGGTTTGTCCCAGCCCGAGTTTGTCATGGGGTTGAGACTCAGTGGCTGCAACATCCCCAGCTGAATTCCTCATGCTCTAGACACACCACCAACACCAAAGACACCTGAGCTGCCATCCTTGGCTCTCTCCATTGCCCACAGAAAGAAACAGGAATCTGGGATCTTGGGGTAATGTGTGTCACTCTGGTTTGTGCTCAGACATGCCTGTTTCACTCCTGCAGCAGTAGAGACACCCAGGCTCAGGTCCAGGTGTCTGCACAGCAGATGTGCACCCATCCACTCAGGTGCATCCTCCTCCAGGAAACTGGGGTCTTCTTGGCCAGGGATCACATGGAAGCTCCTGGATCAGGAGCAGGGGCAGGATCAGGGCAGCATTGAGGCTGGGGCAGTCCAGCACAAGTGAATTTCCCACCCCATGCTGGACATCTCTGGGCAGGGGAAAGCAAATCACCCTGTCCCTTCTCTTGCTGGGGTGGATGCAGCTTTGATGCACTCCTGGGGCTGCCTGTCCTGAGCAGCTTCTCCTCCTCTGTCCCCAGCCAGCATGACCTTGGACCCAGACACCACCAACCCCTTCCTCATCCTGGCTGATGACCAGAGAAGCGTGGGACGGGGGGATGAGTGGACCTCACTGCCCAACAACCCTGAGCGGTTCGACACGGAGCCGTGCGTGCTGGGCAGCCAGGGCTTTGCTGCGGGGAGGCACTGCTGGGAGGTGGAGGTGGCTAATGGGGGGGACTGGTGGGCTATGGGGGTGGCCCAGGAGTCTGTCAGGAGGAAAGGTGTCCTCAGTTTTACCCCCCAGGAGGGGATCTGGGCCATGGGGCAGTGGTTTGGGCAATACTATGCTTTCACTGACCCTGACTGGACGCCCCTGCACCTTCCCTGCCTCCCCAGAGCCATCCAGGTCTGCCTGGACTTTACAGAGAGGCAGGTGGCATTTGCTGATGCTCAAAACAAAGCCCCGATCTTTGCTTTCTGCCTGGCTTCGTGTCCCAGGGAGAGGCTACGCCCATGGCTCTGGGTGGGGATGGACTCATGGCTCAAGCTGTGCCCCTGACATGGAAGGAATGTGGGTGGCAGTGGGGAGACTGGAAAGGTGAATACCATCAGCCTGGGTCTGGGAGGGAAACTGGGAGGGTCCTGCATCCTGACAGCTTCTCCTCATGTGGATCCTCTGGCCACCAAGTGGGAGGACTGGCAGGTCTTGCAGATGGACACCACCAAAGATCTTCCTCCATCCCCTCCACCCCACAGCTGGGACTCCAGAGACAATGGGGAGCACAGAGATTCAGTGCATGGAGGAGCTTGGTGCCAGGTGGTCCCAGGGCACAGAAGTGACATAAGAGTGCTGGGGCACTGCAGAGCTGCTCTGTACAAGGCCATGAAAAAATACAGCAGGTTCAAACTCCTTAAAAGGTGCTGAAGTAGTGTCTGTGGCTTTTTTCAATTAACTTAATGATTAAGTTAGAAAAAAATCCAAACATAGTTGGATGCTGGAGCTCATGATAACACTTATCTTCTCCATATGTCCAAAGCCTCCCTCTGCCTTATTTCCTGTTCCCACTGATATGTGTATTAAGCACATTTCTTACAGCACCACATTAGTAAAAGCTATAGGGACAGCTATATAGGGCTGTCTCCCGTGGGAGGGACCCCACG